AAAAAATAAACAATTAAATCTGGCCTGATCGGGAGCAGTCGTGTATTCACTGTCCTAGAAGATTGAGAACCCGCCTATCGCCCTGGCGCAGATGGTTCCCTTCCCCTAGCGGTAAAAACCCCCGGAAACGGCCCGGCCTCTGCACTCGGGCGAGAGTGCAGAGCTTCAGCTCAGATGAAGGAAGTTGCCCATAAAATAAAACTAAAATGTAGATGAAAATAATATGTAGGGGAGAGAAGAAAAACAAGAGAAAACTTGTTGTATATTTTTTCTTGTCATTTTGAGCTCAACATACGGATATATATAGGGTTGGAAAAGATGTTACAAAACCCGTAATTAATTCTGTAACGTTCGTCATAAATTTTGTAACGTTCCCCATAATTATATAGCCGTTACACATATTTTTAATTGCTAATTAAAACATGTTTTAATTACAAAAATTTATTATTATTCATGAAGGCAAAATTGTCTTTTCTTAACAAAATATCTAACAGTCCCCCCCCAAAAGGCAATATTGACTGAAAATAATAAATCAATAAATAAATCACAGAATAAATATAGGTTGGGCAACCTTTCGTATCGTGAATTCGGGAGAGGTAGCTCTCGGCTTTGAACCTTTCCTTAGTGGGTTCATCGCCACCTGAGGGACATAATGGACTAGGCCTTGAATTAGGCCCCTTTAATCAGGTATTGATGAAAACACACACAATACGCTTCATCTATTGAGCAAAGCGGGTTGAGCGTTAAAGGCCATGCTCACAAAAAACCGACTCATGAGAGTTTCTAGGGGTCAGCCCTGTCCCCCCCAACCGCGGCCATCACGGTTCCTCTCACGTAGGTAAGTCCTCAAAGGGTACTACAGCTGTTTATTTAATACCCCCCACAATACACGCGTTGGACTTATTAAGAGTAAAACTCAGCCTAGCCAGCTGTATCATAAGAGCATCGTCACCATAGAGAAGGGGTAGTAGCAAATGCTACATAATGATATATAAATATATCTAGGTCGATGCTCCACACGAGAGTCACTTGTCCAGCTTGTTTCTACCACATTGAACCGACATTGGGACTACGTCTCCAAATAAGGGTTGGGTTGCCGCTGTCAGTGACCTCATTTATGGGCTTAACCCCATCTCCCTCGATGAATCCAGAACCACACTCCTGGATAATCCCTTAGTCAAAGGGTCAGCAAGATTTTTCTCAGACTTTACAAAGTCCAAGATCACAACTTTGCCTAATAGGCGTTGTACAGACTTATATCTTATTTGAATATGTCTGTTATGTTTTTTATTTACATGTACTTGCTTTAGAAGCTCTATGGTAGATCTAGAATCAGAGTGAATGGAAATAGGAGGAGAGGGTTTAGGGACCAAAGGAAGTTCAGATAGAAGATCTTTTAACCATTCGGCTTCTGTGCAAGTAGTATCAAGAGCAATTAGCTCAGATTCCATGGTGCTCCTGGCAATTATTGTTTGCTTACATGATTTCCAGGATACAGCAGCACCACCAAAAAGAAATACATATCCAGATGTAGACTTTACACTGTTGGAATCCGTGACCCAATTGGCGTCACTATACCCTTCTATAGCATCAGGGTAACCAGTGTAAGTCAAGCAATAGTCAATTGTGCCTTTTAGATATTTGAATACTCTTTCTAAGGCAGACCAATGATCTTTGCTAGGGTTGCTAGTATACCGACTCAGTCTCCCTACAGCATAAGCTATATCAGGTCTGGTTCGGTTGGATATGTAAAGAAGAGATCCAATCATCTGAGAATATTTTAGTTGGGAGACAGGTTCACCTTCATTCTTCTTCAAAGGTATAGAAGAATCATAAGGTGTGGAAACAGGTTTAGAGTTATGAAAGTTGAATTTGATTAGCATTTTATCAATGCTATGGGAAAGACTCAAAGATATTCCTCTAGTGTCTCTAGAGATTTTCATTCCAAGTATCATGTCTGCAAGACCTAAGTCTTTCATATCAAAATTTTTGGAAAGATAATCCTTAACCTTTGAAATTAATTCAAGTGTTGTTCCAAAGATAAGGATATCATCAACATAGAGACAGAGAATGACATAGTCAT